CCCCTGCCTGTGCCTGCCCCCCCGCTCCCCGCCTTATCCCCATGGGGCTGATTAAGTACTTTACTGTGAGGTGACTGGGGACTGGCTCCATCCTGCTGTGGCTTTCAGTTTTATGACTTCCCTGCCATTGTGCATTGTTAGCTGTAGATTCAAGAAAACCAGGAATGCCAGCAGGATAGATAAGGCATGTCTGTTTATTCCCATGTTTCCACAAGCATAGGGAAGTGCTAACAAGTTCTAACCTGTTCTAGGATTTTGGAGTTGATGAATCTCACCAAGGACAAATCCAAAGGCTATACAGCCATCTTCCCTGAAGTCATGAAATCAATGACCAGAGCGTTCATTCCCTTAGAACCTGGTGGGATTCCGTAGGCTCTGGGTGGGGAGAGAGGAATTGTGTGATCGGAGGTTCCACATATGAGTCCCCTGTGGACAAAGTGAACTCATAAATCCTAAACTTTGAAAACTGTTGACATGGAGAACCTTGGCCCGCTTCGTTTTTACGCACACCTAGTTGTGCAAGGTGGCATTTACTGCATCTGACACTTGAGAGTGGTTCAGAACCAACCTCTCCACATGCTTGCTCTCAAGTTCTATAAGTGAAATGCTGCAGTTTATTAAGGAATAAACCAGGAAAACCTTATTCCTACAGGAAACAAAAATACATATATACTTAGAAGCAGCAAAACCCCTGGAGAAGTCTCTGAATGCTGGTGATAACAATATCTAGAAAATAATTGTGGTGGTTGGAGTGTTTGCCATTTAAACAGTGAGTTATTGCCTGGAGAATGCAGGAAATATGATTTGGAAAAAACACTGCAGAGATGACAAGACATGTGGACGCCTAGAACAGACACGTCCTGAAGGGGAAAAAAATCTCTGCAGTAGCATGAGGCTGTAGCTTCCCTCTGGGCCTTCAATTCAAAAAACAAACAACACACAGGTCTCTTATAAGAGAACGCCACCCACAGATGGACAAACTCTTTTTTAGAATGGATTTAACAGGTGTCTGAAAACACAAGTCAAAGTGAACACAGTGTGATCAAATGACTCCATTTAAAAAATTCTGTGGGACAATGGATTTGATACATCTGGCTAAGGGGCACTTGGGTTCATCCTATGCATTAGGACCAATAAGAAACGTAGTGTTACTTTAGCTCAAATACTAAGCGTGGCTTTAAAATTTTTATGGTTTGTTTTTCTTACGTGAGTCATAGAACTGACTCTGAAGGCAAATTCCACAGAATTTTAGAAGATGCCTTGGGCTCTGGCGGTGCTGGAATCAGTGTTCAGCCTTCCAAGGAGGCTTCACTAGAGGAAGCTTACCTGAATTGTATAAATGACGGTACATTTGGGTAAAATCAGTTTTCCTAATTCAGTAACATCTTCCTCATAAAAAAACTGCCCCAAACTGCGGCTGGTAGTTATTTTTCAAATGTTACGTGAGTTGAACGGCTTTGCCAATGGAAGGTGAGTCATTTCCCCAGCCTGGCCCCGTGTGCAGGAAGGAGGGCGCTGCCTGCAGTCATCAGGAAGCCCGCCTTCTCCTCCTGGATCGCTTGCTTTGCCACACGTGCCTGTGCCACACGAAATAATCAAATATGTCTGGGGAACATTTTACTTTTGTTATGGTCTGTGAAACTGTTTTCCATGTTCTAACTCTGAAAACAAAAAGGATTTCTAAATGTTTTCTACTGAACCAGTATTTCACTTCTGAGGCATAAGAAGGGGAAGAGGTTTTGCCACTCCCAGGGTGGCATGTGCTAAGCGTCAGCCCGTCCGTTGGCGTCTGACAGGGAGCACGTGTCCCAGGATAGTCTGGAAGCTGATTCCGGCAGCCTGCCCAGGCTCAGGATCGTCAGCAACATGTGTCATCCCTGTAGGCTCTCTTCCTTTATCTGCTTAGTTACCTAAAACGTGATTAGCTACCTAACACGTGAACGTACAGAAACTGCCGCAGTGGCTGTTGGCGTGGGCTGGGAGGTCTCCCCTCTCTCTTCTGTCAGAGCCTGCGGTTTGTACAGTTAGTTGGTTTTCCTTCCTCTCTGCCCAGGAACATCTGGTTGATTCCTGCTGTTCTGGCCTAATTAATGGTAATAGTTTCTCTCCTCAGAAGTACACAGGTTTGGGCGATAAAACATCATCCCTCTCTGAGGGCTTGTTTCAGCGCAGGGGTTGAGCATCTGAAACTTGGACCTGGGCCACAGGCCTGCTCACGTGTGCCTCCCTGCCTCCCAAGCTTCACGGCAGCGAGGCCAGGAGTCGGCACCGCCCCGGAGCGCAGTCTCTTCCTAATGGTCTCCTGCCTTCAGAATGGCGTGCTGTGCAGTGCTGCAGTGACAGGCACTCTTAACAGAGACCTGGGAGTGTGGGGGTGACAGAAGCAATTCAAATGGCAGCCCTAAGACTAGATATTCTGCCCCCCTCGCCACCCCGTCTCTCTCTCTCTCAATTTTCTATATATCATCTATCTCACCTATTATCTGTCCATTCATCATCTGTCATATGTTTATTATCTATTCATCCCTCATCTATCTATCTCTCTGTCATCTAGGTATCTGTCCATCATCTATCATCCATCATTCACCTATCAACCATCTATTATCTATCTACCTATCTATCTGTCTGTCTATCGATCATCTATTTTTAATATTCTGTTGAAATAAGACCCCTGGACATCACTCAGAAGGAGAAGGGAGCTTGGATTTGCATTTGGTCCTGGAGCAGCCTCAGTTCCTGAGGTCACTCACATACCAGGAGGCAGCATAAATAGTGGCTCTGATAAGTGCTCCCCTCCCAGAGGGGCCTGGGTCCAGTCACAGTCTTGCTTATCACCACGCCGTCCACAGTGACAGCCATACTGGCTCCATGCTTTAAATAGGTAGACTAAAACTGCACACAGTGAGGCTTACACAAAAAGGGGGATGGGAGCAGAGAGCTAGAAGAGAGCCTTAAAGTTGGAAGAGGTGTGTTTGGAAGAAACTCCATGGCTGCTTCTTGCAGATAGCGGGTGGGTTGTGGGCCACCTGAACTAGCCTGTTCTGGGGGCTGGGGGCAGCAGGGCCAGCAGGGGCCAGGGGCCAGGGGCCCGGGCCTCAGTCACCACAGCCTGCAGAGACACCTGCCGCTCCAAGGCAAACCTGCTCCCAACTTCTCTTTGTTCTGTGTCATTTCATGCTGGTTTTCCTTTTCCTGTTTGTCACATGTATGACATATGTGTATATATAACACTAGACTGTGGACACATGCACATACATATATGTATTTATGTATTAGAATGTATTTTTATATAGAATACAATATATTATCTAATAATATGTGATAATGCATAATTATAATATATTAATAATTATATATTATAATTATATATTATACATGCATAATTAATAAACATAATTATATATTTTATACTATATAACATAAATGTGATTACATATATGTGCATGTGTATAATAAAGTGTTATATATAATATAGAGTATTTCATCATAAATATCATAATATACTAATATATTAATAGGAATTTTACATGTATAAGTATACAAATTAATCATCTAGATGCCTGCACTATTAATTTATGCACAAGGCTCTATACTCAATGGGCATTTATTCCTTTTTTTTGTTAATTCTCACCTGAGGATATTTTTTCCAATGATTTTTTTTAGAGAGAGTGGAAGGGAGGGAAGGGGTAAGAGAGAGAGAAACGTCACTGTGAGAGAGACACATCAATTGGTTGCCTCTCGCACACCGGGGAACAAACCTGCAACCTAGGTACCTGCCCTTGACTGCGAATCAAACCCGCCACCCTTCAGTCTGCAGACCGACACTAACCACTATGGATGCCAGCCAGGGCTCTTTATTTCTTTTTTATTTCCTCTTGGCTTTCACCAGGTAGGGGACCTGAATTCACAATAATAGGCTATTATGATAAGCCTTACTAAATGGTTAAGGCCTATTCCTTTTTTTTTTCTTTTTTTCTTTTAATGTCTTTATTGATTTCAGGGAGAGGGAGAGAGATAGAAACATCAATGATGAGTCATTGATCGGCTGCCTCCTGCACATCCCCCACTTGGGATCAAGCCCGCAACCGTTGCGGGCATGTGCCCTGACAGAGAGTTAAACCACAATCTCCTGGATTATAGGTCAATGCTCAACTGCTGAGCCACTCTGGCTGGGCGGCCTATTTCTTTTTAAGGGTAAATGTCTTGGAAAGTGAGTCATCTAGATAAAGATGCAAATGAACATTTTTGTATTTCTCAATCTTGTATATTCTGTGGGTAAAAGAGAGATGCATTTAGAGTTGAAAGGTGATTATTTTGGGGTTCCAGGCAAAAGTGTGCACTTCTACCCTAATTTGCTCATAGTCTCCCCTTGGTGTAGTAAGATGTCACCAATCAGAAGGAAGGAGGCTGAAATATTGGGGTAATATTCAGCAGTGCTCGTAAGTAATATTTTATATATATCAAAAGCAGTGTGGATTTGCCTGGGCAGATGGAGGCCCTGACAGGAGTGTTTCATGTTGTGTGTGATTGACACCATGTACGTCTATGTTCAACGACAAATAGTTTTAGGGTAAGTGTGTCCCTTTTCAATCGCTCGGGCACCATTAGGCAACAGGCAAACCTTGTATTCCCCACAGTGCTCTGGACGAGTCTGGGTCGACATTTCAACTCTTAGAGATTAAATTCAAGGGCTCCCCCCCCCC